TATTAATGAGAAAATATTTTCTCTTATCAGTTTTGTTTCAGAGAAAAACAACAGGACTTTCTGCAAAAAAAGACGATTCTGTTCTCTTTTTAGTGTGATGTTTTGAACATTGTCTGTTCTATAACTTTTTAGTTAATGTTTTTGATTTACCTCAATATTTCTCTAGTAAATTTAACATAACAAACTTTTTTAACTCGTAAAAATTTTAAGTACTTCTTGAGAGATTTACGCTATGATACAAAATATTGAGTGAGGCTATTTTCATAGATAATTCGAACTGAATCAACTCAAAAGAATTTTTTTCAAATAAAATTAAACTCTTTAGAATTAGGTGATCTAATCTGTAAGTCATATGATTTTATTGACCACTTATTATTCTTGTCATATTGGTAAAATGGCTCGAGTCTTTTCTATATGTCGGGAAACTTTTATTGTTTACTACAAACATAGAATATCATAAAACACACTAGTCAGAAATTATTTTATCCTACTATCATTTTTCGCGCTAATCGGATCAAAAAGTTACAATTCATTGATATTTGTCTTTCTAAATATGATGTGTTTGTATGCATCATTCTAACGAACTATATCGATTTTGTTAATTCAAAATTTTGAATAAAATAAAGAACGAGAGGGTTCTCTTCAAATTAATTTAACAATTGAAAAGCTCATAGCAGTCTTTTATACATGCCTAAACTCATTTTGTACGCCTTTAAATCAAGGACTTATGAATATGCCATGATCGCTCCTACCAAAACTGTCATTATTAATAGTTACCTTCCAGAAAACTTTCCATCAAGATATTATTTTGTTCAGAAATCTTCACAATCTTTTTTTCTTCAGAAAATCTAGACTAACTTTTCTCTTCTATCCTGAAAATATTTTAATGAGTGAATTGCAACTTTATTGTACCGTTTGTAGTTCCATATGTAAAACTTTAATAACTCCGGTTCCTATTGACTAATCTTTATGAAAATTTCAGAGTATGCTCCTGTAGTTGATGCTCACTACCACACAAAAAATCACGAATTTATCATTAGCCTATCCTGAGATACTTAATACACAAGTTTAAAATGACTGACTTTTACTGTCACCTATTGACACAAAATGATCTATGATTGACTCATTTCCTATCATTTGAATTTTCATACTTGTTAACACTTATAGTAGGCAGTATGTACGTGACGAATATAAGACTGGCTCGTTCTTTCATCACAGTTTATACTTATTTTTTTTCCGAAATATCAGATGTTCTGCTAGTAGTCAATATGTGTCACACGAGATTTAAAAATGACTTTACTATATAACAACGCATTCAAAATTTCTCGGGCACGTTTTAAATTAAAGGTTATCAATGGGGAACAAAACCACCAAAGACAATGCGAACGTTTCACTTATTCTTGTTAAGAAAGGAATATCGAATAGAATCTGAAAATCTAGTTGTCACACTAAATGTCACACGAGATTTTATATTTTGTTTGTCCTACAAACTCCTGTAAATTAAGGCAGATTGAGCTGAAATTTTTATCATTTTATCTACTAGTCGTAGTCAACCATTGTTGAAAATATCGCTATTAGAAAACGTATCTTTCATATCAAAGAGCAGACAAATAGTGTAAAAATGTCACACGAGATTTTTTGCTGAACCGTCACACGAGATTCTTGGGAGACAATTAGTTTAGGTTTTTATGTATATCATTAGCACATAACTAAGACTGAAGGACACACATAACATGTCACTTGATTTTCTATTTAAGTAGCTATCATAACGTATGCTAGTACACTATAATTTATTTCTTAGGATTCATACATATTAACTCAGTGATTGTATATAAAGAATAGTGCATTAGGAGAGTTGTGTGATCGCGCTTCATTGAATTGGACTCTGAATGATGTTCGAGTGATATGAGCTAAGTAGTTTCTGTATATAAACTGAAGAATTTTCAACGCATTCTGCGAAACTCTAACATTTAAGCCATTTTTCGATCCAACAGCAGTACAGTAATTCAAAGCATTTTTCAATGTTTCTCGTATATCAGAGCTATACTAAGTGTGGTAGTCGGGAAAATTCATACTTTTTCTCCTCTTATATAGTACAACCAAAAACAGCACTGATCGAGTTCGAAATCGAAAATTTTTTTTCATCCGTTTTTTTCCTCAAAACGGTACAATAAAGTTGCAATTCACTCTAATGCATTGAAAATCGTCGAACATTTATTATTAATCTTTTCATAGATTCACTTACAAAATTCTGATTCTTAGTCAACTCTATAAAATTTCGACTGAACCTTTTCATCGGTCCAAAAAACAGAAAGGAAGACTTTGTTTCAAAACTTTCAGTTCACAACGTATAACTCAACAATGCACTATTCTGACTATGGCAAGACTGAAGATGTATTTACAGTGAGAACTTCACCGACATCCACAATCAAGTGTGATGCATATCTCTCATGATCAAGCACAATAGAGAGTGGGTCAAAAGTTATTTTATCGAGAAGAAACCCTTGAGTATCTGCACGATACTTTGATGAATATGAAAAAATAAATAACGTTTTGTAAATTATTCACTGAATATATCTAGTTATTAATAATTAGAAGTTTCAGGAAACACTAAGTAAGAATTGATTGAAGCGTTGATTGGAAATATTTCTTGTTCATTATTTTTGATCATATGGATCAGACTATTTTCTCATAACTCATCAAAGACTTCAGATTTATATTCATATTAATAGTAATATTTTAAAGCAGTGTTTTCTAGCATTTTTCGTAGGAATGTCAATTATGAGTACTCCCTTATTAGTAGTGTAAAAATCAGTCCATTTGATCAAATTATGACAGAGATACTCAAGCTTTTCTTCTCAGTAAAGTGACTTTTGATTTACTCTGAATGTACAACTTTCTTTATTTGAACCACTTGTTAACTAACAGCAACCAGTTTGGCAAGTAAAAATGTCTTTCAATTGTCCCTTCACTCAAAATTTAATTTATTTTTCTCGCTTCTTCGTTCACACAATCAAAATATTCATCAAGAGCTGAATGAAAGCAATCGAATTAATGATGTCTTTGTTTCTTTTTTCGTTCTTATCAGAAAAAACAGAAAATAGTCACTCTGATAAGAAACGATGTATGAGGCAAGATATCCAACGTAATGTGACTTGAGTTATCGTAAAGATGAAAGTCAAACGAAAGTTAGAAAGAATAGTGATGCAACCAATGACGTTGTTCGATTTTTTTCTTTCGTTCTCCTTGTCGACAACTATGTTATCTCTTAAAACTCAATGACGTTTATCGTTGACTGTTGACGACAAACAAATATCCACATTTTATGTCGTAGAAAAAATAGAAGGCAGCTACTATATAAATAGAAGAAATGATTTCTGTTTAAACGACAAACAACTATCCACCATTCTCTCTGCACCAACAAATGACAATTCTCAATGAATATGAATGAACAAAAATCAAAACAAAATATTTCCAAATCAACAATGGATATCAATGCAAACACAACAGATCCATCGCTTACCATGCGATCAACGCGGCGCATCACTCAAAATTATTTGATCCTCTGGCTAAATGAAAACATTGATCCAGCAAATAAATATTACCAAAATACACTCGAACAACTGCAAAGCATAGCCAATGAAGTCTACATCTTTACACAACGTGATGAATGTGTTGACTTTCTCACTGAAGTCGATAATCAAAAGGCATTTCTCATTGTATCAGATACTATGGGTCAACTAATACTACCCTTTATCCATGATATTCCTCAACTCGATACCATCTACATCGACTGCAGTAGCAAAACTACACAAGAAGATTGGAATAGTCACTGGAACAAAGTTAAGGGTCCATACACAGAAATTCCGCTTATCTGCGATGCATTGCAAATAGCTGTCAAGCAATGCAATAAAGATGACATATCCGTAAGCATTATCAGTGTAAACGAAGAAGATTCCAGCAAAGATCTCAATCAGCTTGAAGCCTCATTCATGTACTCCCAAATATTCAAGGAAATTCTTCTTGATATGAAACATGGTGAACAAGCCAAGAAGGATTTCATTCAATTTTGGCGAAACGAATACAGCAATAACACAGTAAAAGGGAAGGATATCACTGAGTTCGAAAGTCAATATAGTGATCAATCAGCAATTTGGTGGTACAGTCGTGAGTGTTTTCTTTACGAGATGCTCAACCAGTCTCTTCGAACACTTGATGGCGAGACAATTATAAGAATGAGTTTTTTTCTTGCTGATCTGCATCGACAAATTGATAGTTTACACAAACAACAGATCAGTCTTTATCATGGAAAGATCTTTGAAGTTTTTCGGGGACAAGGATTATCCACAGTCGACTTCGACAAACTTCAGAAGAACAAAGGTGGACTTATTTCCTTCAACAATTTCTTATCCACCAGTACAGATGAAGCTGCTTCTCTTGCTTTTGCTGAAAGTGCCATAGAAAAACCCGGTATGGTGGGTATCCTATTTCAAATGTCGATAGATCCCACCATCTTATCAAGTCCATTTGCCTCTATCCGGGAAGTGAGTAATTTCGCGGAGGAAAGTGAAATCCTCTTCTCTATGCACACCGTTTTTCGAATTGGTGAAATTCGAAAACTTGACAATGAAAGTTTACTATATCAAGTAGAACTTAAACTGACGTCAGATGAAGACCAGCAACTGCATCAACTCACAGAAAGTATACTAGGAGAAGATTCACATCAGCCATGTTGGAGACGATTGGGTACATTGCTATCAAAAATAGGACAATATAACAAGGCCGAGAAATTCTATACCACAGTACTCGAACAAATATTCAACGACGATACTAGAGCTATAATTTACAACAATCTTGCAGTGCTGAAAGGTCATCAAGGATTATACGACGAAGCAGCATCATTTCACGAAAAATCCCTCGAGATCAATCGAAAAACTCTTCCAGCAGATCATCCTTCACTGGCTGCTTCCTACAACAACATCGGTACGGTGTATCACAACATGGGTAACTACTCGAAAGCACTTGAATTTTACGAAAAAGCACTTAAAATGGAAGAAAAAGCTCTGCCTCCGAATCATCCCTCATTGGCTACTTCCTACAACAACATCGGTGGAGTGTATTGCAACATGGGTAACTACTCGAAAGCACTTGAATTTTACGAAAAATCACATAAAATATACGAAAAAGCTCTGCCTCCGAATCATCCCGATTTGGCTACTTCCTACAACAACATCGGTCAAGTGAATAACAACATGGGTAACTACTCGAAAGCACTTGAATTTTACAAAAAATCACATAAAATCCTCGAAAAAGCTCTGCCTTCGAATCATCCCTCATGGGCTACTTCCTACAATAACATCGGTCAAGTGTATAACAGCATGGGTAACTACTCGAAAGCACTTGAATTTTACGAAAAATCACATCAAATCCTCGAAAAAGCTCTGCCTTCGAATCATCCCTCACTGGCTACTTCCTACAACAACATCGGTGTAGCGTATGACAACATATGTGACTACTCGAAAGCACTTGAATTTTACGAAAAAGCAATTAAAATAAGAGAAAAAGCTCTGCCTCCGAATCATCCCGATTTGGCTCAATCCTACAACAACATCGGTTTCATGTATAAGAACATGGGTGACTACTCGAAAGCACTTGAATTCTACGAAAAATCACATCAAATCCTCGAAAAAGCTTTGCCTTCGAATCATCCCTCATTGGCTACTTCTTACAATAACATCGGTCAAGTGTATAACAACATGGGTAACTACTCGAAAGCACTTGAATTTTGCGAAAAAGCACTTAAAATAAGAGAAAAAGCTCTGCCTTCGAATCATCCCGATTTGGCTATTTCACATGGCAGCATCGGTCAAGTGTATAACAACATGGGTGACTACTCGAAAGCACTTGAATTTTACGAAAAATCACTTAAAATAACAGAAAAAGCTCTGCCTTCGAATCATCCCGATTTGGCTATTTCATATGACAACATCGGTCTCACGTATAAGAACATGGGTGACTACTCGAAAGCACTTGAATTCTACGAAAAATCACATAAAATCCTCGAAAAAGCTCTGCCTTCGAATCATCCCGACTTGGCTACTTCCTACAACAACATCGGTGGAGTGTATGACGCCATGGGTGACCACTCGAAAGCACTTGAATTTTGCGAAAAATCACATAAAATCTACGAAAAAGCTCTGCCTCCGAATCATCCCTCACTGGCTACTTCCTACAACAACATCGGTATGGCGTATTACGGCAAAGGCGACAACTCAAAAGCACTCTCATTCTTAGAAAAGGCACTTTCTATATGGCAAAAATCACTTCCACCTAACCATCCTAATATCATAACAGTCACAAACGCAATTGACTATGTAAAAAAGAAAATGTAACTGTAATTTTTTCTTTTTGGCTTACTCAATAAATTTATTCACATTGCTAATCGTTTCGATTTTTCTCGGCTCATTTTGGCTTATTCGCGCGCGCGCGACAAGGAAGAGATCGCTTGTCAATGCCATAGGTACCACAGGCGGACTACGCCGGACTGGTAGGGCAATGGCCGAAGGTATGCCGTATGAACGGTAGGGACCAACGACTCATAGAGGCCTTCCCTAGTACTACACTGCTTCGCTATGGCAAGAAAGTTCCTCTACCTATTGAGTCAGACAACATAGCTCTCTGACCCACACTGATAACATCTATAACTCAACTCATCTCATCTTATCTCAAACGTACTCATACTTATACTCATAATGACTGATAGTGTTTATTTTCTCTCAAAATAAGTTATCTCAACTCAACTCAACATGTAAAAAAATTTTTTTTGTCCTACCTCTCAATGTTATATCGTATCGTAGCTCATCTAAAAAAGAAAGTATAATTTTAAATATAAAATGAATTAATTTACCTTAAATATAATACAATCTATCATTATCATTGTAAATAATATCATCATAATAATTAACCCGGGTATATAAATACATTGTAATGATACAACTCGTGTGTATTGTTTCATGATGTTGTATTCATGTTTTTACACACCCTCAGGTTAATTGATCGATGCTCATGATTTTAATTGATTTTCTTATCAATTATTCAACACATAACACTACATAATTGATTTGATGATCAATTTTTCGGTAGTGATATGTGTATATTTTTTTTCTCGTCTGACGTACATTAATATCATATTGTCATCGACGAAAAAAATTTTTATCTTATATATACACTGTGTGGGTCGAACACTTACATTTAGAGAAAGCAACGATAAGAACAAAACCTTTAATTATACTTCAAAATTTATCTGCAATATTTTATATATGTGTTATTTTTTATCCTACAATGATGAATTCATTCAGTTAAATTGAAGATTAAATTTGAAAATAATAGTTTTTTTCTTTTTAGACTCCTCTATTCTGAATGATAAATGAAAATCATTTTTTTTTAATATTCTTTTATTTTTAATTTATTTTTCTTTCATCTTATGTCATAAGATTTTTATTTTTAAAATATCGTCTTCAAAATGATTAAAAAAAAAATTGACGTCTCTCTATACATGTGAGAGCAATCTAGAATCATTGATCCGACGCTGGAATTCGGTGAGAACACAGACTTTTCTATTATACAAATATGTACAAATAAATTGAAACTAAATAAAAGGAAAGGTGAAGTGATATCATCACTTATTGTTTTTTTTCCTTTTATAAAAAATTTAAGAAACTTTTATTTTAACATAGTGAATAATTTCTCAAGTGTACTTATTCATAAAATTGCTTCGAAACATAATATTGATCAATGAATCGAAAAATATTTTTTTATATGATTCATCTTGATATAAGGATCTAAGACAAGTTAATTTATCAATTCGAATTTTGTTTTTCATCAAAACTTCTCCTTTAATTACAAAAAACTGATTCATTGAATTCATTAAACTTACTATCATTTTCAATCTTGATGCATAAATTTTGCAAAAAAATTATCAAAAGCTAAAAGACTGACACATCTAGAGCATTTATTTCTAAAACATATACAACAAACTATGAGTTATAGTGTTATACAATGAAAAAGCTAATCATTTCGTGATAAGTAAATGCTCATCTACATGCTTCAACAGTCACGAATTCATCTCAAAATAGTTTTCTGATCATGCTGTATATCATATTTCTGCTCTTTAAACACTTTAACATAATTGATTCATGTCTTGTTGTTTTCGTTATCAGTTTGCCTTAATTGAATGATGAAAATAATTGTTTTGCTTGTTAGAGACCCTTCAAAGTAGATCTTGTTGATAAAATCGATTCGAATAGTTGAATCATTCATGAATGTTTTAATATTCGTGAATGAAGGAGGTAACTACATCTAGGTTACCTGACAAAGTACTATCTATGAAGTAATGTCATTTAAATAGAATGAAATGAAGTATTTTCTGAGCTTTAATAGGGATCAAACTAAGAGACAATAATGATAATAGTATAACATTTGATGAATATATTCATGTATTTCTCATTATGTTTCTCTCGTATAAAAACTATTCGACAGATATAACAATTCCATCATTTTGTTTTCATAGTATTTAATTTTTTTATAAAAATTCGATGTTGTTTTTTTTTTGATTACATGTGAAGAAAGAGGCATTACATAAAAAAGAAAACATGCATTCTTCAAATATAGTTTTATTTTAACATATATTTTGAACTACATGTTTTCTATTGATAATAATTAGAGAAAAAGAATTTTATTCTCGCAGTACGTCAGTTTCGTTCATTGAAAAATATCTCTGAATTTTTATAAATAAAATTATGTATAGATTAAATATTTGAGTCTGTAAAAAAATCTTAGTAGTAATAACAAATAAATTAATGAATCACATATTTTTTTTCTCATTATACATATATAAATGATTTTTTTTATTATGCTAGAAAGTGTAAGTGAATCTATGGAATATGAACGAGATTTAAACAAAAATTGCAAACCTCCTTCGATTAAATGATATTGTCCTTATAATTTTTATGAAAAATTTCTACCAATAAAAAAGCTTTTAATAAAAGATTTATATATGGATGTTTTTTTAATATTAATCTCTTTATATATCTTGTTGAGCCTGACACTGCACTGTTTTTCTTCAATATGAATATAGAAAGTTTACTAGCAACAAAAATAAAAGAAGATTACGATAAACATTTTATTCATTTCATAAAATTGATAAATTCACAGCTAAATCAGTTTGAATAAAAGATTCTAGTTACTTTGCTTTTTACTTTGGAAACGGAAACAATGTTTGACCTTTTTACTGTTACAAAAAAAAAATAATTGAAAAAGTTCGTTTACAGGAAAAAAAATACACTTCAATTAGAGATTTTAAACTTGTAATTTTATATAAACATGACCTGATAAATATTGATGAACGTTATGCATGTAATTTTTTTTTTGAGAGTAAATAGGATGAATCATTTATTGTTTTTTTTGTCGTAAATTGTTAGTTGATACTTAAATTCTTTAAAAACTTCCATTAAAACATTATTTAGTGTCGATCGATAGTAAGTCATTTATG